GTTAATACTGCTTAAACATAAAAGCCAAGAATACTGCACAGCTATTTTTTTTTTATGTTTAAAAATGGCATTAATTTTAGGAGTCAAATTTCACAAAATATACAAAATATTCAAAAATGATAAATCAGAAAGCCCCTGACATTTTAAGAAGAGTCTTGGGGAAACTTCTACTTAACTACCCATTTAACATAAGAGAGAGGTTTGTAAGTTAAAGGACCTTCAACTTCTGTGCCAGGTTCTCAAAAGTTTCACTGTGTAACTTGACAACAGTTGTACAGGCCCCAGTCAGCACCACTGAAGTCACAGGGAGCTTTTAAATCTCTTTTATATATGCAAATTTGGCCCTTTTTTTGCCCAATTTTCAAACCAAAGGTCTGTACTGTATGTATCAATAAACTCAGTCAGCACAGGTCTCAATATTTATTCTTTCAAAATCACCTATGATATAAATATTACTGTTCCCTGTTTATTCCCTGCAGCTGAATAAACCTCAATACAAAGCCATTAAGGTACCAATTGCTGACCCAGATATCAATTTCTACAGATGCAGCAACAATAAATTGCTTCTGTAACTTTTCTTTCAAAGACAATTCACGCTTTTTATGAGGATGTTTTCTTTTCACAAGTTTTGGACATATGACTACTTGCCAAGAGATAGGAAAAATGATTGTGGTATGGTAGACAGTCTGGAGAGAAAAACTAGAATGTTTTTAAATGGTGAAAAGATAGAAAAGAGCAACTTCATACATCTCTATTTTGCTATCATTCCAGCTCTTATCAAAACATTCTCATCAGATTTGGTGTCATGAGAGAAGCAAGCCACAAAACTGGCTAGTGAGCATTTCTTATGTATCAGTGCTGTCTGCAGGCAGGGTCACTGTTCTTGCTATAGAAAGGTAGGTTGGTATTTAGAAGAAATAACAGAATAATAAGCATCTTTGAGAATTCTGCTTTTGTGCAGAAGTTACGCAATTGAAGAGAAACCAAAAAAAAACCCAAAACCAAAACATTTCTTTCAGAAAGGTGAGAGTGATGAAAATGCCACAGTTACAGAAATGTAACTGCCACCGCATCAATGCAGGACTGAATGCTTCTATATATACAAACACATATGCTGCTCCACTGAAAGAATGCTTTTTTTGTAATCCAGAGGAAAAAATAGAAAAGAAAAAAAATTCAGGACAGTAATTGACATAATAAAGTAGGTGGAAGAAAAGCTCAGTGCAATCAGAATAGGTGGAAACATTTCCACTGACATCAATAAAGTCAGGATTCCACTGCACCTCTGATGGATTGAAAGCTCTTTCCTTTGAATGCTGACTCATGTTGACAGTGAAGTATATTTTTAGTTACAACAAAAGGCAGTTTTCTAGCAGAAGGGTTTCTAAATAAAGGTCAAGTAAAACTGTACATAAGCTCGAGGTCAGGTTTAATATGGCCTTTTGGACACAAAAATGAGGAATAGTTTCCTGTTTGCAGTTAAAGAGTATAAATGTTGGAAGAAGCCTTCCTTGACCTACTTATATGTGAAAGCCTGATGGCTTCAGAGTACTTCCTACCGGGAAAAAAAATCTAATAGCATCTGTCCTTTCCAAAATGCACACATTTGCCAATATTAAAAGATCTGTATTCTTATTTTCCTGTTCACCACAAAATAAAATACTTTTTAATATTCTGTAAACAAATAACTAAAATTATATTGTGTCCTAAAAATTGACATAATGATTTCATTTATCATTAATATAAATTCATGTTAGACTTTTCTCCAATCAATGGATTATCATACATTTTTCTTCTCACCCTTCTTTCCCTGTAAGGGAGAAGAAATATGTGTTTTCTGAGGGAATGATTCACTGGTTTCTGCAGCTAGAGTGTCAACTTCAGCTAGTCTTGGAAAAACCAGATGAGCACATATGGTTACTTGAGGTGCCATGCAGTTCTTTCACTTCAGCTCTTATCAGGGGATATTACTTTCCTTTGCAGTAATCTAATCTGAGGGAAAGCTTTAAAGTACCATAGGCAGTAAGAAAGGGAGTAAAATGCACCTTCTTTCACTGTTCAGATAAATAAAAATATTAACTATGTTTTGCCTTTACTAGTTGAGAACTTTTTAAACAAAGTGAAGCTCATGCAAAATGCTGCTCTTTGAGAATCATTTATCTCATATACCAAAATGCCACATAGAGTCTTCATAGATTAACTGAATATATCCAAGCCCTGGTTCTTAACTGACATCCCTAGACTTAGAAGGAATTCTAAAATTTCGCACCGTTTTTCTCCTGTTAGTCTGCATTTTATAAAATTTTCTCTATTTTGCAATCCATGAATCTTGTCCAAAAGCTATATGTTTACCAGTAGGGTGATATACTTATGTGACCTTCAGGTATCTTTACTGTAGGCTAGATTTAGCTCCCTTATCTTGAAGTTTCTGGTGGGGCTCTGAATTTCATCAAATATCATTATGAGAATTTCAGTGACATCTTCCTCATCTGCCCTTCTATTTGTCATATTTCTGTGAAGCAGCTCATACTGTCTGCCAATCCAAAACAAGCAGCCACATGTAGCCTCGTGGAGAGTGGCTGAGGGCACTTGGTCTGTTCAGCCTGGAGAAGACTGAGGGGAGACCTCACTGCAGTTACAACTTCCTTGTGAGGGGAAGAGGATGGGCAGACACTGACCTCTTCTCTCTGGTGACCAGTGACAGGACCCGAGGGAATGGCCTGAAGTTGTGTCAGGAGAGGTTTAGGTTGGATATTAGAAAGAGGTTCTTCCCCCAGAGGGTGGTTGGGCACTGAACAGGCTCCCCAGGGAAGGGGTCACAGCACCAAAGCTGACAGAGTTCAAGAGGCATTTGGATGATCCTCTCAGGCCCATGGTGTGACTCCTGGGGATGGTCTCGTGCAGGGTCTGGAGTTAAACTCAATAATCCTTGTGGGTCCCTTCCACCTCAGCACATTCTGTGACCCTGCCACCGTCAATGTTGATCTAGTAACTTTTACCAACCAGATCAAGAAAACTTTCTTGAAGACAATCTTGTTTTTCTTTTAAGTTTCTTAAGGACACTGTGCCCTCACACCATACTGTGGTGGCGTGTCTGTGCCTGCAGTAATATCTGCCATATACAAAATAATTACTTTCTGTTACTTTGATAGGTGTGAAAGACATCTCACGAACCTCAGAACAGAGGACAATAAGTATTAACATTGCACATGAAGTATCAAGTAATCATTTTCCATTCTAAGCACTTTTTATTAAGATCTAAAACTAGTGTACTAACAAGCTCTGTACTGAGCAGAAGTATTTGAATGTTCCTCATAGGGGAGCCAGAATGTGTCTCAGATACCATTGAATTATATGATAAATGCATTATACTAGATAAAAATTTTATACTGCCTAATGCACAAGCTATTAAGTCCCTACTATTACATTTGATGCCTGGTAGTAAATCCAAGCTAGGATGAAAAATAAAATAGATCTCTGTGTTTAGTTGTGTTGTAGTAACTGTCAAACACTAAGGAATTTTTTCTCACTAAAGAGTGTGCTTTCAGCAAAGCAGGACGTGAACAAACATGTTTCAGGTTACAACTAAAGAGTATGTTTAGATTCAAGAGCAGAAACTTGAATGTTTCCTGCAGTTCTTTGGAGAGATATCAAGCAGTGACATCAGTTCTTGTGTTTCTAAAAGCTAAAAAAACTATAACTAATCCACAAAACCAACATATATTCAAAACAATACAAGAAATTTGCAATGTAACCCACACACATAATTCAATGTTTGGTTGACACAGAAAAGCAAAAGCAAAAACAGTAGAATCAAATTTCAGGCTTAGTAATCACAAAGGTCAATTGTAATACTTATTTTTAAAGTATTTGTGATTTAGATACAAAAAACAGTGAAAAAAACAGAAAAATATTACTGATGCTGAGTTAAAATGTATTATATTAAGGGAGAAATCCTGAATATAATTCTAAAAGTCAAAAAAAAAAAAAAAAAAAAAAAAAAAAAAAAAAAAAAAGATGAGTTATTGCCTGTGTAATAAAAAGTCACAGGGAAAGAGAAAAATACCTGAAACAGAAGCCATAAAAAGGCAAAAGACTAGTGGGGAGGAGATTCGCTGGAGAGATTACAGGATGTTTGTTTTATCTGTGACTGACCAAAATGGTGACCTGCCAGTACACAGAGTGCCTTACCTCAATTCAGCACGGAAATGAGGAATATTGGATTAATCTATGTTTAACAGAGGGACCAGGGAAGGAAATGAGCCCGTTGTGCAGTCCACCCCCTTCCCTGTGTGTTCCCACTGAAAGTCTCCCATGCTACCAGCTGTCTCTCCTTTCCTGCTTTTCTCAGTGGCTTGATCCACTTTGGATGATTGTCTTTCCATGCCCTGGCTACTGGGGAGCACAGTTCTGAACAGAGCAGGCAGACCTATAGTTGGTAAAGAAATGACCCAAGAAGACTTATAAGGAGCAGGTACATCTCATTTTGTTGATTAATTGGCAGAGCACTACTCCACCTCTTTAATGAGGTAGTAAGTAAGGCATGATTATTTTGCCTGATGTTTTAAAGTGACATTGGGATGACACAAAAATAGTCCTACAGCAGAACTGCCTAATGTGGGCAAAATCTAGTCATAGAATCATAGAATCGATTGCGTTGGAAAAGACCTCCGAGATCATCGAGTCCAACCCTTGGTCCAAATCCAGTCCATTTACTAGATCATGGCACTCAGTGCCACGTCCAATCTGCGTTTAAAAATCTCCAGGGATGGTGAATCCACCACCTCTCTGGGCAGCCCATTCCAATGCCTGATTACTCTCTCATTCGGCTACTACTTTTTTCCTCTCAAAATACTCATTTAGTTCTGCTTTCTTTTGTATGCATTTGCTATGAATACTTTTCTGACTGACTCCAACAGCTTCTTTTCTTAGTGTCCAGCTTCAAACACAAAGAAGATACGTCTGTCTGGATACTAAAAAGAAAAAAAGCAGTTGACACCTTGGTAAAAGATCCACTTTATTAGAAAATAGTATGGCCCACACATCTGGCTTTTTCAGTGCAGGAAATCCTCAGCGTGACTTGACAATAATCTTCTGGATAAACACCTAAGCCTGTAGAAATCAGTGCATCTCAGTACTGGACTATGCTGCATTTGAAAACAGAGAGGGACAACCCAAAGTTACAGAATAGCTGGCACTTTTTCATAGTAAATAGTCTTCTTGGCTAACTAGTGTAAATGAAAGTCCATAAAATATTTTCCCACTTTGCAGGCAGATATCCTAACCAGATTTCCCAATTCTAATAATATTTAGATTTATTATGCTATTTCTCACTTTTCTATTTCCTCTTTAGTCTGTCACCCAAGGGTATCAATTACTTGTTGCTTTTTAGTATATACTGACTTGATTTGCATACATGTCTCACATGAGATATTTCTTATATTACTGTTTCTCTATGTAAATAATTTTCTCAAATGGCTGCAGTGCTGAGCTAAAATAATATGTATATATTATGCTCCTGATATATTTAGGGCTCTAATCTTGTTTCCTAAAGCTATAGCATGATTCATAGGATAAACCCAAGGGAACGAAACCGTTGGATTCAAGGACACACTTTCAGTACACCCAACTAAATCTACAAGGGCGTGAGAAGCAGTACAGAGAGTTCTATGATTTCCAAAAAAAGTGTCCAAAACAAGTTAGAAGTTTCCAAGGCTTTGCACATGCTGATTGTTATCAATCTAAATGGCAGACATGATACTCTTCATTTGTGAACTATTCCCAGACTCCACTAGGCAGAGAGAAGAATGGACTCTGAAGCCTGTCTGTGCCTCATGTGAGGAAAACTGAGGCTCAAGCCCTTGTCCAAATGGGTAAATAGTAATACTGCTACTGCTATTAGAGATGGGACACACAGAGATGTACCACAGAATGCCATGTAGTCCTGACTCTGATTCAACTTGTAACTCTGGGTCGGGCAAAGTAAAAATGAACAAAGACTTCTCAATGTGCTCCAGCCCCCTGGCCATTAGGTGTCTGGAGTTATGGGAGGAGGCATTACTTCCCAGAGAGAACATCTAAGAGGAGATTCCAGTTCAAGATCCCAAGATAGTGATCCACTGATGGCAGTGCCTGCCAGAGCAGGGAGCTAAACAGGGAGAGGTACTTATGCTTTCCACCCACCTTCAGCATCTCGTTTCTTTGTAGCTTCAGTGGATTTTCACTCATCTGGACTCTGAAACCTTTCTATGCCTAAGTCTTGTTACTATAGAGCCCAAAGTTCATGATTCCAGCAGGCACTTTGGGATCCTGGAGTTAGGTGGTACAATGCTGAGTGTTACAGCACCCAAATAACCCTAAAACATCATTTTCAGCAATAGATTTCACAAGGACTGTACAATACCTCAGTAGATGTGGTTCTGTAAACTCCTGTGCACAACACGTTACACCTACACAAATGAGCTGGGTCAGGGGCTTGGTGACAAAATGGATTGTCAGCAAGGACTATAAAGCTGCATCCCTTGACCTATTATGACAAAACACTATCATAACTACATGTAAGCATTCATTAACATTTTTAAAATTATTATGTAACTACCAGCACACTTGGTTTGCAGCTGATAACAAAAATGAGTTACTTCCTTCTGTTCTCAAAAGAGATGTTTCCAGCCCAGGCAGTGGCACAGGGTATTTCTGTTCCAGAACAAAGTCCTGCCCAATCACACTGGCAAGACAGGATAAGAGAAGAGGGAAGCAATCCATCTTTGCAGGACTCTGTGTTGCATGAGTTTGCTATTTTCGTCTGGCAGTTTGGTTTATGTGACTGCTGGTCTGTTTGTGTTACTTGTGAAAAATCTCTCTTCCCCTGTTCTCAGCATTACCCCGTTAAACGGGTTGGAGAACTTACACCCAAACTTTATTCAAAGTCACGCTGCTCCATGGTGGTATTTCAAAACTGACTTAAAGTGGGGCAAAACCTTGAGTGGACACCTTTAAGCACCAGACACACAACAATTTATGATCGAATTACCTGATTTAAGTTTCAGTGGTACAGTCCTGAATATAAATGTGCCCAAAGCAAACAAATTAAGCAGCAAAACACAGCAAAAATCTGAGTGTTCATGCAGTTCTTTGGAGAGATGCCAAAACTTAAAAGCATGAACAGAATAAATAAACTTTATGGGAAAAAAAAAAATCAATTTTTCAAAGGTAACAGCTGTTCTGCACTGGCTCCTGGTGTGAACAGATTCCTCTGCACACACAAACGAGTAGGCTAATGGGATTCAGTGTACTCAAACACCCAATGCACGCTTTGTCTTCGTCAAAAACTGATGTGAATGGGACTCCAAAAGTTTCTTTCTGAAACAAACAGAACAACTTTACCTATTTTGTGAACTGTTCCATGCAGATTGTTACATTAAGTCCTTAGAAATCAAAACCTGAGAACGTTTACTCAGAAATGTCAAAAGGGAAAGGAATCTGAAAATATGTCGGAGGCAAACTGGTAACCAGGGAGAAACATTTTTGAATCCTGCCTTTTTGATACATTCCTGAGACTTCCTAAACACCAAAACTGTGCTGTGCTAGAAGTCATGTGACTGCTTTACCTCACGCTATGTTTCATCAATTCAAATTAAATTTTCCACAAAATATATGACACAACCTAGTTATATCAAATATAGAAGAGAAGGTGCATGAAACAAATTGCAAAAAGGATCTTTTATCTTTGTTTCATGAGTTCTCTGAAGAAGCAGAAATCAGTGCTTTAGCTGGACAGAAATTAAAGATCATGCTATGCACAAGCACAGGTTACATTTTAAAATTATTAAATTTAAAGTTATTAAAGTTAATACTATCTTTATACATCATGTGGATTAAAAGGAAAGTGGTCAGTTTAGTGTGTTGAGTTCTTCCCTACTTCAAAACTGCACTTTGGTTTAGTTTCTTTTCTACACATTTATTCCCTACTATGACTTTATAAAAGCCCTTTAATGCTTTCTTTTGTTCTTCCCCAGTATAGTTTCCATTGAATTTTGCTCATGATGTAAAGTTATAGCGCCCAGCAAACACAACCCTTGCTAGCAAATAAAATCATTAATTATTAACAGGAGCTGTTAGTTTGAGGACAGATATCTGGACATTATGTTATTCTAACATCTCTTGGGAGTTGGGCAGGTAGAGGGGAAACCAAGCAGCATCCTGCAAAACCTGGGAAAAGAGGCTGTGTAGACTGGGTCAGAATCTTCCTTCATGTATAATAGGGCAGCGACAGCTTCACCTTCCAGGAACTGCTGCATCGACAGCGCTGCTGCAGTGCAGAAGGGAAGAAGTTGGCAAGTCCCTCCTCTCAGCAACACCTCCTTCTAACATTACAGCCCTCACATTTCACAGGGTGAATTGCACAGAGATTCACCCCAAGACTTTGGATGGGGTTGTAACCACCGCAGCTGGTCACAGATGTGGCACATGCAGAGAGGCGAGGGGGGAGGGAATGTGGTTTGGCCCCTGTGAGAAAATACCTAAGCTCCAACATCACTCTATTAAGGAATTTTCAATTTCAGCCCCAATAAGACTCAGATAAGCAGCTGTGATTGACAGGAACAGTCTATAATTCAATTGTAGCCAGTTTCAGGATCAGATAATATTCAGTAGCAGAAAGGAAATTGGTGCATTAATGCCCAAAAGCCAAAGAGAAACTCATTTTGAGGAAATCACTCCTGCATTGGTAAAAGGGTACTGAAAGACAACAAAAGGAAAACCAACAAAAATGTGTTGTTTATTATATCTTAGGGTTTGTTTTTTTACTTTTTCTAGTTTTAATTTTGATCTTTAACTGAACAATGCAAAATCATGAGTAGGCACCATTTTAATTTTAAATCTCTTTTTATATTTAACATTTGGGGGTGGAGAGCATGTGTATAAACACCGTGATACAAAACTCTTTCACAATACAAATGCAAAATTATCTGTTTATATTTTTATTGTTCTTTCTATACTCTTTGTTCTCCTAATACTCAGTAACAAAGTGGAGGCTCTGCTGTGCTTGGCACTGCACAGAAACCTAAGACAAAATTCCCCCACAGTCTACAGGACAGCAACCTGCAAGACATCAGACAGAGATACAGATAGAGAAAGGTACACAAGGAAATTATCAGAAACTATATTTTTTATATAGTATTATAGTATTTTAAGGAACTTTAACTAGTTTAAGTTTTTCTGAAGTATTTTTCTAAGAAAACTTACTGGATGTGTGAGGGACAACACAAAGAACATGCTTCCTGGAAAATTTAATAAGTAGGTAACATGAGCTAGGATGCTGACAGAGGTAGAGGAACAATTAGTAATCCTGAGAGAGAGAGATGAATGATGAGGTGGGGTTTATCCATGAAAATTATGTCAATCAGAAAATCTATGGAAACAGACAAGAAAGAGCCCAAAAGAACAGGAGGGAAAAGAAAGGAAAACATATTATGTACATGAACACCCCTGGGATTTAGCATGACTAATCATCACCAAGCCTGAAATCTGGGGGATAAGTTAACAACCCCTTCGCAGGATCTCACTCTTAATAACAGCAGCATGCAAAATGCTTTGCTGCTCTTTTAAAGCTGTAGTGTTTCATCTTTTAAAGTTAGAAAATATCTCTGCTTTTCTCATTCAGCATGCACTGCGCACTATGATACAAACTAATATTTTTTCACAAAACCCTTCTTTTTTTCCCCCTCAAAGCTTTTTTACTCATTTTTCAGTGATCAGTGCATATGCTGGTCCTTTTTCTATCCACCTTCCCACTGCAGGCCTTGCTCAACCTCCTGACTCTCCATTCAAACATCAGGAGTGAGCGTAATGTGACAGCTAAGTGGATGAGCCCCCTCTCCCAGCCCCTTTGTCTAGCTTGCCTGACAGACACTTAGGAGCAGAATTCATCCAGTTATGCTGTTCCTCATCCCTTATTGCTACCTCCCAACCCCTCCAAGCTCACACTAATTTTTATAGTGTAAGCACAAATGCACATGTACAGTAGTTTATCTTGGCAACTAAAAGACAAAGATCATTAGGGCAGGTCCAGAATTGGAGAATGGTTACTGAAAAAAATGTTCAAAACAGAAATGTTTATGAGTTCAAATAATTTAGCTACTTTCCCATTGTTACAGGAGTACCACAAAGTAAAAATTACCAGCACTTGTAATGACTACAACTACAGAGCTCACATTTCACAGGTTTGTAGATATTTAATTTTCTTGAGAGAATACTTCATTTGATCATGAAGTGTTTTATAACACATCCTATTTAGATTACAAGACGCTGTCTAGTCTGAGGGGGGTGCTCTTAGGTAGCACTACACTACCAATAAGAAAAAATAATATTAGTACTGGTATTGTGTATTTGAATTTTCTGCCCTTTGTCAGGCCATCCCATACTGCTCTCCCACACACCACATCAAGGACCTGCTGCTATGCCTTAACTGAAAGCCAAACTGTGCAGGTAAAGCCTGTGCAATATAGAGTAAACCAGAGTGACTTCATAGAGCAGAGGAACAAATACTGCCTGGGAGTTGGGACCTACCAGCCTCAATTCCTCAAGGAAACTGCAGAGTATTTGCTGTTCATTGCTGATTCTAGGGACAGAAGTTTATGTAGCTCAGCAGGGAATGGCCACAGGCTGAATGAGTTCTCTTGGTTTCCTCAGTGATGGAACTGAGATGCAGGTAAATAAAACCACCTGACACACAATCTCAAAATGATGCTGGGCCTGTTCAAAGTTCCATCTCATCCTTAAACAAACACAGGAGCCCGATTCACCCATTCAGACAATGTTACTGCAGCCATAAAAGATAATCTGCTGTCATCTTTTCTTTCAGGATAAAAAGCTTTCTACTGCCTCTCAATATAATGTTGTAAGAGTTTTTTTGTCAAAACAGTGAGGTCAAAAGACTGCTCTGCTATTAAACCTTTCTGCATCTTAAATTTCTTCTACTTCATATGTCACAGGCTCCTTTCAGTTTGCTGACCTGGGGAGGTTCACAGGACAATGCCACAGTGTCCAGAGTGACAGGACAGGAAACAGGCACTTCTCAGGCACCTTTCTCACATTGTCACAGTGTTTTACTGCAAGTCACAATCAACCTGATACTATGAGAGAAACAACCAGAAATAAAAAAATCAAGGAGGGAATGACACAGAGAGGGCATAACATTTTTCTAGTACCTGATATTCACAAACCCGGAGAAGGACAGCCCTGCAGACACCACCAGATTCAAAGCTACCTGTTCCCAAGACTAGGGCCTGAAGCACATCCCATACAGCCTCTCTCCATTCCTAAATGCTCTTTCTGAGATGACCCAAGCTGTCTAAATGGGAAATTAATTTCTTATCTATCTTCTAATGCATACTATTGCCTTTTGTCTCTCTCAAATAATAACGTCCCATGAGGCAACGGACCTTATGTGTGTTACTTAAACCTACATATATGTATTTGATTTGCTACTTCAACCTTGTCTAGCAAAACAGTTATCTTATCAAAGAC